GAAGGCTTCGTTTTAGGGATATGAGAATGATTCAACATACACAAATCAATACATGTAATACAGCACATAAAATACTCAAGGCTAGAAATCACATGATCATTGCAATAGATGCAGAAAAGGCCAACATCCTTTCACAACAGAAGCCCTGAAGAAGCTAGGAATAGAAGGAACATAATACAAGTTATACATAACAAACCTATAACCAATTCTATGCTGACAGGGGAAAACTGAAAGCATATTTTCTAAGATCAGGACAAGATAGAGGTGCTCACTCTCTCCACTCTTAATAAACTGCTTAAAGTCTTAGCTAGAACAATAAAGCAAGAAAAATAAATAAATAAAAGGGATTCAAATGGGAAAGGAAGAACTCAAACTACACCTATTTGTAGATGGCATAATCCTATACTTAAAAGACCCTAAAGAGTCCACCAGGAAACTCTTAGATATAATAAATACTTTCAGTAAAGTATCAGGATAATAGTTAACATAAAAAAACAGTGGCTTTTCTATATACCACTAATGAACTTACCAAGAAAGAAATTGGGGGGACAGAGGGGTGAAATCTCATTCAGAGTAGCTTCAAAAAAATACCTAGGAATAAAGCTAGGTACTTACTAGGAGATGAAAGACATCCACAATGAACACTTTAAAACTGAAAAAAACATAAGAAGACACTAGAAGGTAGGAAGACCCCATGCTAGTGATTAGAAGAACTCATTCTGTGAAATGGTTATATTACCAAAAGCGATCTATACATTCACTAAGGTGTCTATCAGAATTCCAATATCATTCTTCACAGAAGTAGAAAAAAACAACCCTAAAATTCATATGGAAGCACAGCCGTCTCCAAATAGCCAAAGCAATCCTAAGCAGAAAGAACAATACTGAGGTATCACAATGCCTAATCTCAAATTATACTACAGAACCATAGTACAAAACCATCATGATTTGAGCACAAAAACAGGGCCATGAAACAATAAAATAGAATAGGGAATCTAGAAATAAACCTACAAAGCTACAGCACGTAATTTTTGACAAAAAAGAACACTTGTACACCCCAGGTGGGAATATAAACTGGTAGAGCCTATGGAAATCACTGTGGAGTTCACACACACACACACACACACACACACATACACACACACACACACACACACACACACACATATATAAACCTAAAAAGAGAACTACCATATGATCCAGCCATATCTCTCCTGGGTATATGCCTGAAGGAATCTAAGTCAGTATACCACAGAGATACTTGCATACTCACGTTTACTGTAGCACTCACTATTCATGACAGTCAAGAGATAAAGAAAATGAGATCTATACACAATGGAGTTTTATTTGGTCATTAAGAATGACAATATGTCATTTGCAGGGAAATGGATGGAACTAGAGATAATAATGTTAAGCAAAATAAGCCAGACTCCGACAAATATGCAGAATCAAGATCTATATATATGGACAACATACAATGACTATGAAGAGGAAGGGGAAGATTCAGCAGGAACAAAAGGGCGCAACTGGGGAGGAAAAATACAAAATACGTGTTTTCTCTAATATGTGGAATCTTTAATTAACAATATGCATATATATGACATAAAATCAGGAGGGGGATTATTTGCAGGGAGGAATGTACCAGCAAGGGGGTGGGAAAAGGTACAGAGAAAGGAGTGGCAGGGCAAATATAAACAAAGTACAAGATATTATGTGTGAAAATGTCATAGCGAAAACCCATTCTTCTGTATGCTAACTAAAAAAATATTAAAATTTAAATGTATAGTAATAGAATATTTTTAAACAACTTTATGCTGACAAATTTGACAACCTAGACAAAATGAATGAATTTCATAAAAAGCAAAACTTAACAATGTGACATAAGATGAAAAGAAGTTTCGGATAGCCTTTTATCTGTTAAAAATTAAAATCAGTATTAAACTACAAACCAGACAGTTATACTGGCAAATTCTATCTGAAATTTTTGTTTTTCTTTTTGTATGAAATTTTAAAAATAAAAATTATTGGATAACAGCAATAGTATATTAAAAAAATAATCTATGGGTTCTTACCAGAGAGATTCTTAGTAGCATTATCTCAGATTCCCAAGGACCATTCAACATTTGGCAATGCATGCCTATAACTCACTACATTAACAGAAGAATAAAGATAAAACGTGTAGTCATCTTAATAACTATCAGGAAAAACACTTGATGTTCAACATTCATTTAAAAGTAAGATAAAGCAGGGCGTGGTGGTGCACAACTTTAATCCCAGCACTCAGGACTCAGAGGACATGAGATCAAGACCATCCTGGTTTACACAGCAAGTTTCAGGCCAGCTGTGGCTACAAAGAGACCCTTTCTCAAAAACACCACCACCACCATCAACAACAAAAAATTAAAGTAAAAATTCCATAAATTTTACCTACCAGAAAACCAACAAATATTTAGCTGAAGATAAAGCCTTAGTAAAGCAGGAATGAGAAACACAGTTACAAACTACCATGGGTATATCCTCAAGATATAGCATATATATATATATATATATAGAGTGTATTGCCTGCATGTATGTGAGTGCACCCGTGTCATGCAATGCTGAGGAGGTCAGAAGAGGGCTTCGGACTCCCCCGGAACTGGAGTTGAGGATGGTTCGTAGCCGCCATGTGGGTGCTGGGAATCAAACCTGGGTCCTCTGCAAGAGCAGTCAGTGCTCTTAACTGTTGAGCCATCTCTCCAGCCCATAGTTTATATTTTTTAGTAAATACAAGAAATTGCAAGGCTGGAGGTGTAGTTCAGTTAGTATTCACTTTACAGGCCCGAAGCCCTGGTTTCCATCCCTGGCACTGCATAAACCTAGAATGGTAGCACTCACCTGTAACCCCAGTATTCCGGAGCTTAGTTGCAGGAAGATCAGAACTTCAAGGCCATCCTCAGCTACACTGCTAGCTCAAGGCCAGCCTTCTATACAAGGCCCTACCTCAAAAAAAAAAAAAAAAAAATTAAAAGTGGCTGTGATGATATACACCTTTAATCCTAGCACTCAGGAGGCAGAGGCAGGCAGATCTCTATGATATCAAGGCCAGCCTGGTCCAGTTCCAGAGACCCTGCCTCAAGAAAGAAAACAAAATGAAAACTGAGGATACTTGTAGCATCTTAAAAACTCATACAAAATACTAAGGATCTATGGAAACACACAAAGGTATAGAAATGAAACCTGCAAAAAACACATCTCCCTGATAGCTGCTGATGCAATATGGTAAGGACCAGGCAGAATTGGTGAAGTATGGAGTATAGGATGTAAAGATGAATTTCTAAGAATATTTCCATCGGTTTCTCAGCTAACTAGAAATTAATTTTAATGCCAGAAGCATAAAAGCAATGGAGATACATACTTTTTCTTTTTAAAAGACATTGCTGTAAGTAAGAATCCCTCTAGCTCTTAGCTGTTTTTGGTTCCTTGGAGGTTTGGAGATCATAAAGACATGCTCTTCATCATATACATTTATTAATAGAGTCTGAAAAACACACTCTGGAGCTGAACTGACTTCATTAAGTCAAATAAATCTGAACTATGCTATTGCCAAAAGCAGTCTGAGAAAACAGGCCCTAGTTTGCCAACCCCTTCATGACATTAGATGAAATATAAAGAGACATTGGCAAATACTCTTTCACATTCCCTTCTTTTGGAATAGAATAAATTAGCCCTGAGGCCAGTGACAGCTGACTGAATTTTCCCTAAATCTGAGCTTTTCACTTTCAATTTCAGGTTGAAATTCATCTTTATATCCTATACTTCCACCAATTCTGCCTGGTCCTCACCATGTCAGATCAACAGCTATCAGAGGGATGATGTGGTTTTTGCAGATTTCTATACCTTTGTGTGTTTCCATAGATCGTTTCACCTTCTCTCAAGCAAAATAGGGAAGCCTGCTTCCAGCCTGAGGAAACAACACCAACACATTTATTTCTTAATAAACACGTGTTGATTTGAAGACGGTTAGGGGATTCTGGTAGGTTGCCCTCACTGGAATTGAACTTTGTCCAAACCCCGTGTATGTATACACCTGACCTGTTGGATACATGCGGGTGTGGCCTGTGTGCACCGAGAAGGTGAGATGTAAAAGTTCTTTCAAATTATCACCTACAGTGGGACTACTTCCCACTTCATTTCAGTATTCTTGTAAATATCAAAACTAGAAAGCCAGGCATAGTTATGCACGTCTTTAATCTCAGCACTTGGGGATCAGAGGCAGGTGGTTGAGGCCAGTCTGGTCTACGTAGTGAGTTCCATATTAGCTGTGGCTCTAGAAGATCCTGTCTCAAAAAGAAAAGAAAAACAAAACACTAAATAAAAGACATTATGAGAAACTACAGACCCCTATCTCTTATGAACATAGAGGCAAAACTTCTAAACAGTTTCTTCCCAAACAATCTGGATAAGATGATCAAATTACTCTGATAGATTAACGGTCACTTGGGGATCTGGAGTAGAACAGATGGGAAGGGTTATAGAAAGTTACAAGGGAGCTTTTGAAAATGATGAATGTGTTCGTTGATTATGGTCAGTTCACAGATGTATGCTTATACAAAAATCAGAGTTTTTCGCTTTAAATACATGCAGTTCATCATATACCAACTATACTTTAAAAGCTCCTTTAAAAAAAGAATTTTGCCTCTGTAGTTTTGCCTTCGTGTGTTTAGAATGAAGAGAAACAGTGAAAACGGGACCTTTTGTTCCCAGTAACTTTGAAGGGCTGGCTCTTGCACTGGACAAGTGGCAGGAACCACCCTCGAAGAAGCGGGTGACCCATCCAGGCGTGTTCCTGCAGGGTAGCGTGTCCCCGGAGCCCAGGGACAACGCATGAAACCCGGCCCAGTGTGCCCGTGTGAGCAGAAATACACAAGAGTCCGGAAAGCCCGGCATCTGGAGCCCCCTCCGGTTCTGCACACCTCGCACCCGAGAGCCCGGACGGCAGCAGCAAGCTGGGGCACGGAGGGGCCGGGAGGGCCGGACAGCGCGGCCAGCTCCTCCCCAGGTCGGGCGTGCCCCAGACTTCCACCCGCCTCTCCCGCGCCCTCGTCCTCACGGCGCGGCCAAGCAGCCATGCCAGGTGGCCCGCTGCAGAGCCTGTGGCGGCGATGGTGCCGTTACAAGTACCGCTTCGTCCCTTGGATCGCACTCAACCTAAACAACAACCCAAGGTGAGGACAGAGTGGCGGAACTCCACGACTTTATGTCCCGGCCGAGGACACCTCTAGGCCAGAGGCTAGCGAAGGGCTGAGGCGGGCGGGCCGGGGAGGCTGAGCCTGAGGTGGGCGGAGCCTGGCGCAGACGGAAGGCTGAAGTGGGTGGGCAGAAGAGGCGGAGCCTGAGGTGGGGGAGCCTGAGGCAGGCAAAGGGCTGAGGTGGGTGGGCCGAGAAGGCGGAGCCTAAGGTGGGTGGAACCTGAGGCAGCCAGAGGGATGGGGCGGTCGGCCCATGGAGGCGGAGCCTTAGGCGCGTGCAGTCCAAAGTGGGTAGGTCTGAGGCACGCGAGACCAGGTTAGTAGAGTGGGGACTCGAAGCTGGAAGTGGACGCCGACGCCAGCCTTGGGTGGGCGGGGCCTACGGCCCCTTTCCCAGCAGGCGCCGCGCCGGTGTAGCTCCAGGCTCGGGTACCGAGCTCGCGGTTCTCCTTTGCCAGTCCTCTCTTCCTGGGACGCTGCCGCTAAGCAAGTAGAAACTGAAAAAGACTGACGAGAGTGTGGGCCTTTTCTCATCCAAGTCATAGGTGCCAGAGCTTCGTCAGAAAAGACTAAGGTTATTTTCAAAGCCTCGTTGTGAACTTCTGAGGTGAAACTACCTCAGTTCGGCGAAGAGTTAACAGCTTGGCGTGGCTAAGGCGCCCAAGTGTGCGGGAAGCCCCGAAAAACTGTCGGGTTAATGCCGAGGACAAGCCGGCTGCTGAGGGGTCCCCCAGGTGCTGGGTTTAGTTCAAGACGTGCTGCTGATATGCAGGGAGCCCACACAACGCCCACTAAATAGGCACACGACGGAATTTCATAATGTGAAACCGAGAATTCAGGTGCATCGCTGCCACATCACTGCTGTAGAATTGTGAAGCAAGAGTGGCTTCCTTTTTGTTCAGATGCAAAAGTACTATTAGTACAAAATAGTTGTGGAGGTAAAAGTGATGTAGTCAAAGAAGTTACCAGTCCCTCAAGAGACTATGACAAGGATGTGACTTTACCTTTGAAGCTACACTCCTGTGAGGAAAAGCCCTTAGGAGGATTCTTTTATGCGAGAATATTAAGTAGCTGATGAGGGTTTTGCTGGAAAGCTGAGATGTATTTCTACTTACGACTCTTTCATTTACAGCTTTTAGTACCTTGGGCGAGTTCCCTGACAACGCCAGGCCTCAGTTTCTTTGCAGAAAATGTAGTAGTGTGTTAGTGCTCAACAGCATGTGGGATAGAATGGGCCTTTTCATAAACAGTGGCTACTTATGTGGGCATTGTTGGGAGTTAGGTAACTTCGAACTTCCCTAAAGAAATTTTTTCTTAGTTCTATGCCTTTTCAATACCTGAGAATAATCTTCTAGGTCATTAAGGCCCATGACCCAGAGAGCATCAAGAACACTTTTATCCATTGAAGGGGTAGTGAATGGAAACTTTTCCCATTTTCAGGACTCTTCGATATGTTCCGGAGGAATCCAAAGACAAAATTATCTCAGATGAAGATGTTCTAGGAACATTACTGAAAGTTTTCCAAGCTCTATTCGTAAATGATTTCAATAAACAATCAGATCTCTTGACTATGCTTCCAGAACCTGTTAAATCAAAATATCAACACCTACTGGGATTTGAGCATCATAGGATGAATCTGCTTGAAAACAAATATCAACAGCAAAATATCTCTAAGCCAGAAGACATTCTTTATAATACCTTGTGTTTCAGTGTTGCCCGGGGAACTAGCTCATTGATTTCTGCAGGAAGAGGTGTCTTCGTCACTAAAGGACTGGTACCAAGAGGCACAGTTGTATCTATGTATCCTGGTAACAGCTAAATTAGTACTGTCAAGAATTTCTTATATACCAATAAAGTTCAACAAAATGCGTAGCCCTGTAATCAGAGTAAGGGTTTGAATTGGAAAACCAAGTTTCCCTAGAAAAGACAAAAAAAAAAATTGTAATTTCATAATTAACCTTGTATGTTGTGCCTTAAAAAGTATGCTGGACTATTTGTTTAATTGCATTTTTCTTTCTTTTTTTTTTAATTGCATTTTTCTTAGGCCATCTTTGTGGGACTCACCCAATATTTTTTCCTTCCCTTTGCCAGTGAAAGGAAAAACAGCCTGAGTGTCAGATTCATCTGGTCCCATTTAAGTCTACATTATTCATTAACAAAATGCACTTCTTAAAATATTTTTGTAGCTATCAAATCATATTCTACTGTAAATATACATGTATTTAAATTTATATATTAAATATACATATACATATATTAAATTTATAATTGTAAAGCTGAGCCTAAAATATGCTGTTCATATTACTAAGATAGTCATATTTTGTTCTGCTATGTGGACAGTTGGTTCTGTGCTTTATCAGCCATTAGGAACAAACTCTGTAAAGGGGAAAAGTACCCACAAAAAAACTAATGTTCTAGACAGGAGAAGAAATATTTAAAAGATGTAAGAACATGTATGAAAGTATCATAATAAACCCATCATTTCGTACAACTAATGAACACTAATGAATTATTATTTTTGGTCTTTTTGAGTCAGGGTTTCCCTGTCGCCCCAGCTGACCTGGAACTCACTATGTAGACCAGGCTGGTCTTGAACTCACAGAGATCCACCTCCCAAGTGCTGGGATTAAAACTAATGAATTATTTTAAAGATGGATAAGACAGATTTTTCTTCTTTATGTTGACAAATGTCTTTAATACAGATTTTTATGACTTTTATGTGTTGCTGTCTTTGTCTTGTCAAATAGGTACAGTATATCAGAAGTATGAGCCAATCTTTTTTCAGTCCATTGGAAATCCATTTATTTTTAGGTGTTTGGATGGGGTCCTCATTGATGGAAATGACAAAGGAATATCAAAAGTTGTATACAGGTAAGTACTGTCCATATTCAAAAATTAGTTTTAAGATAAAGAACCACATTTGTCATAATAATTATAACCTAAACATCTGTACTTTAAAAAACATCCGTTTTTTAAACGGATGAGGGTACACTGTTTTTTTAACGGTGTGATGGTACATGTGCAGGGCAGCCAGCGCTACATAGTAAGACTGTCTCAAAACAAATCTATTTAGATGGCTGTTGTATAGTTAGTTGCATGATGGATGAAATTTTTTAAAAAGAAATTGCCCCTAGGATTAATTTTGAATTCCCATTTTAACACATAGAAGAACAGTCCCTTAGCTAATGCTTTCATCTATTTCAGATCTTGCAATGGGAGAGATCAACTTGGCCCTTTAAAAATGAGTGATAGTTCATGGCTAACATCAGAAATTCATAATCCACTGGCTATAGGACAATATGTCAACAATTGTTCAAACAGTAAGTTGGCATCATGGGGCTTTCAACATGAGACACAACAATGGCTAATTCTCCTTCACTACGTGACTAAGTGCCAAAGGCAGTTGAGTAACATCTCAGCTATTCAAAGTACTTCAGTTGCTGTAACTTTATGAGGCAAGATACTACCTTTTGATCATTATTATCTTAGTATTTTTAAAAACAGTTGAAGAGTATTTTGTCAGTGTCTTGATATAGCCTTTCAAGTTAGTCACTAAACTGGTATCCCTTTTTACTGCTAAATTTTATGAGTCACCTATTTAAAGACAACTCCTGTAGGTAAAAGTTTGATACAGTGTGTAGTAAGTAGGCTTTGGTGCTAGGGAAACATGAACTTGAAGCCTAACTCCTTTATTTAGCCAAATGACTTGTTTGGAACCCTTAATTCCTAATATTTAAAAAGTAAGCTATGAAGCTGAACATGGAGGTACATGGGTATGATTCCAGCACCAGGGAGGGTGAGGGAGGAAGACTGGGAGTTCAAGGCCAGTCATGGGGCTACATAAGAAGACCCTGAGCCTGGCACAGTGGCGCATGCCTTTAATCCCAGCACTCGAGAGGCAGAGGCAGGTGGATCTCTATGAGATCGAGGCCAGCCTGGTCTACATAAGAGTTCCAGGCCAGCTTGGGCTACAGGGAGACCCTGTCTAAAGCAAAAAAACAAAAGTGAAACACGTTTACTCTAGAAGTGCCCAGAAAACATTAGTTAATACTTTGAGCATGTTTCAGTAATGTAGAAAACTATGTTAAGTATCATAATTCAGTACTGTTTTTAGTCTCACCCTGTGTCATGGCTTTTTCTCTAAAAATTCGGTGCCTGTTCCTAGACAGAGCAGCTAATGTCTGTTATCAGGAATTTGATGTGCCTGCAGATTTCCCCATAGAACTGAAGCAGTATCTTCCAAACATTGCCTACAGCACTGAAAAACACAGGTTAGTATTTTAAATGAACATTTCCTATATTCTATGTAGAAAAACAAGCTTTGTAGAATTTGGGATACATTTTTCTTTTTAGTAGAAAAAAATGAAGGCTGGGAGGTAGTTCAGTGGTAGGGCATTTGCCTAGTATGTGTGACATTTTTGGGCTTGAATCCCAGGTCTGTTAAAATAAGCACAAGTAACTTGTATTTTTATGTTCATGACACCACCTTAATGTGTTAATATAGGTTTATCTGGAAATAAATTTTCACTTAATAAGCGCAGTCTGCTTATTAGTACCCATTTTTTTCATTGTAGGCAATGAAAAATGTTTTTATAAATATTAGCCTTAAAACTTTTTTCAAGTGAGTCTGTTATTATTTTCCTTTCTATAAAAATCTGCAGACAAGTCTTTTTTTGTTATTTTTGAAACAGCATCTTACATTGTAGCTCAGGCTAGCCTAAATTCAAGATCCTGCGTTAGCCTCCTGAGTGCTAGGATTGCAGACCATTTTCAGCTCAGAATACATATTTATATAATTTCACTGAGTTGCTAACTTTTTATGGAACCTATTAAAATACCCTTTTAAGATGAATATTTTAAAACTTGGACTATTCATTATATTTAAAATTTTATGCCAGATATGATGTGGTCCATGTCTATAAACTTAGCACTTATGTGGTAGAAGCTGGAGGATAAGGAGTTCAAAGTTGCCTTTGGCTACATAACAAGTTCAAGACCAGCCTGAGCTACATGAGACCTTGTCTCAGAAAAACCCCCATAATCACCACCAATATTGATAATCACAAGCTCACTGCCTTTTGTGTATATTCATATGCATCTGTGTTTAACTATTAAGTTTTCTTAGCCATACACTCTGCAGATTGGTGCCACAAGGACCCTGAAGGTGTACATAGAAGTCAGTGTCTTATGTCCGTAAAAAGTGTTTTTAAATTCCAATTAATTTAAAATGTCTTTTTCAAAATATGATATATGTATTTAAAAATGTTAAACTAATTCTTTTTAAAAGACTACAATCCTTTTTTGTAATTCCCATTTTGGAAATGACAGAGATGTTTTCAAAGACGTGGTTGGTTGTATAAACTTGCAGAGTTGTGCTCTTTCAAAAGATTATTCTATAGACACTCCACAATACCTGTGTGAAAGGAACTATTTCCTCATGGAAACAGTACATTAACTGAAAAGCAGGAATGTGACTAGAGCATGATACAGTTATAAAATCCATACTGAGTATATTAAAATGCAAACTTGTACTTGAATTCTTCTACATTTATTTTTCTTTTTCTTCAGCCCACTTCGATGTGTTGTTCTTGTCGCACTTAGGGACATCAAGCAAGGAGAAGAGCTTTTTTCAAACTACTACACAATTGTCAGCTAACTTAGTGAATTAAAAATTCATTTTTCTACTTAGTTGTTCTGTTAATTCTAAACGTTTTTTGTTAATCACTTCTCTGTTCCACCTGAAGAACAAGTATTTTGAGATTTAATTGGAGTAGGGATTTTTTTTAATGTGTTTGTTGATTGGTGTTATATTTGTGTTACAATTTCAAGATAAATATTATTTGCTTGATTACAATTTCAAATTTATAATGCAATTCCAATTTAAATTGGCTTTCACAGTTTATTAAAACTGCTTGAACTTAGCCGGGCATGGTGGTGCACACCTTTAACCCCAGCACATGAAAGGCAGGCAGGCAGATCTCTGTGAGTTCAAGGCCAGCCTGGGGTCTACATAGTGAGTTCCAGGCCAGCTGGGGCTACAGAGAGACCCTGTCTCAAAAAGACAAAAAAAAAAAAAAAAAGAAAAAAAGACTTGAACTTATCATTTCAGGTTTTATTTTGTATACCTCTGTAGATGTTCATGAACTTTTAGCCAAGCATTAGCAATTCTTTTTAATTTTTGTGTGTGCGTACACATGCGTACAAGTATCCGTGGAGGACAGAGGAGGTCAGATCCCCTGGAGCTGAAGTTACAGGCAGTTGTGCCAGATGTGGGGGCTGGGAATTGAACTCTGCTTCTCTGAAAGAGCAAGTGCTTTTAAGCACTGAGGTATGTCTTCAGCCCCAACAATTCTTATAGCACTGCTGATGTGTACAAACTTCTGTAAAATTTTCATTTTTTGAGAATAAAGTTTAAAAAAAAAAACCCTACTATGTTGCCATGAGTAAATTGGTGTTTATGTGTGTAATTTACAAATTGTTACAACTGGATAAAAGGAAAATAGGGTCATCTTCCTGCTTCCTCTATTCATTGAACATTTCCACACCAAGGGAGGCACTACTAAGAAAAAGCACAAGAGGTTGCTTTAGCACAAGAATACTGTTAACACCCATCCAGTTCTCTGTGGACTCTGTGGACTCAGCTGTGTGTGGAGAAGCCAGCCCAGCTGTTGACAAAATTATTGTAATTCAGAGGTGTGGCATATCAGCAAGCCAGCCCAGCTCCATGCAGCTCTGAAGCCACCTGCCCTCGAGGGTTGCTCCTAATGGTTACTTTGATCTCCATCCTCCTGAATCCTGTTCCAAACTTAGGATGATGTCATTTACATGGCTCCTCAATCCTCACAGAACTCTAGGATCAGATTCTTGACTACTTTCACTGCTATGTCACCAGCTTTATTTACCTCAGTCACTGCAATTCCAATAGCTTCCTAATTGGCTTCCGTTTCCACTACTGCCCTTTCAGTGATTAATTTCTTGACACACCCTTAAAACGCTATTGTGTCCACACAGATCTACCATGGGAAGGTCCTGTGGTGCTTTAAAATGATGGCAGGTGGTTCTAGACAAGTAATGAAGGCAGAGGAGTACAGGTGGGGTCTTTTTTGTTTTGTTTTGTTTTTTTCTTTTAATTTTGGTCTTGTATAAAACGCAGGTATCATTTGCAGTCTGGATATTAAGAATGGGAAGTGGCAGCTGGAGAGAGGGCTTGGCAGTTAAGAGTACTGGCTGCTCTTGCAGAGGACCTGGGTTCAATTTCCAGCACCCACATGGCAGCTAACAACTACAGGTTAACTCCAGTTCCAGAGGACCCGATGACCTCTTCGGGCCTCCACAGGCAACACGGGTGCACTTCCTTACATACAAAGCACTCATACACATAATTTTTTTTTAATTAAAAATGAGAACCGGAGAATATTGGAAATTAGGCTAAGTAAGATCTTTGGCTTGAAAAGATGAAGATTTGGGAAAGTTATGACCAGAGGCAACACAATTATGAATATTATAGATAAGTTAGTTGATCATAAATACTAATCTGTTAGGTCTTAATTTCTAATCACATTTCAGTTCTATGCCTTCCTAAAAGACACAATTGTCTAGAACTGTTTGAAATAGATATTCAGTGTTTCCTGAATTAAATGAGAATCTTCACTTTGGGGTTGTTAGAATTTATTCATGGATCAAAAGCTATTATAGAGGATTTAAGAAAACAGTATTTCTCTCAAATTGGTATCGCTTAAGATTAGCTTAGTTTTTTTGGCAAATAGTCACACGAACCAGGAAAAAAAAGGATTTCCAGATTTTTATTTCTGGAACTGTACACCAGGTATTAAAGTACAACAAATACAAAATAATGCTCAAAAAAATCAGTGTTTATGTACAAATATTAAAATCAATGCAACAATAGCAACTTCCTCTTGAACATTTGGATACTAAAACTTGTTCTGATTGTCACTAATTTATCTCATACTCACAGGGTACTTATTTCAAACTGGGACAATTAGAATCACTGGTCATCTAAGAGGAATATTATCTACCATATTTAACAATAAAACTAAGTTTCCCTCCTTTTAGTGAAAAAATTAGGAACTTTTTAAAAAACATAGTAATGTCAATATTTTTATAAATTACTTCAATTTCCATTCGTAGACAATGTGCTTTGAAACTCTGGGAAAACAATCTCCTTGGTGGTCAGGTTCGTTAGTTTACATTCAAAGTTGAAATACTAGACTTTGGTTAAATTAAATAGTATTACTACTCTATTAGGTCTGGCATTCTCAAATATTTATGACCTTCAATTTTAAAAATTAAAAAGGAAACAATTGCACAATTCTTTGACCTAATTGTACAGACTTTAGTATTTTTTAAACAGTATTCTACATCCTTCAAGTAAATTCAGCAGTTGACCATGACAAGAGGAAACTAAACATTTAAGCAGCTAGCACGGGAAAGATGGAAGTACAACTCAGAAAGTAAAGTATTGCTAGAACCACAGCACCAGGTACACTTCGCAATGAAGCCACCGTCCTCTTCGATTCCCTGTACATAGAAGATGGATCAGCCAACACTGCAACTGCTCACCATGAATTTTTGGTTTGTTCGTATGAAAATAATGTGACAAATGAAAAAAGACAACAAAGAATTTATCACAGTTTGCTATAAGAATTGTGCTTAACACTTAATAAAGGCATTGTTTTTTCTTCATATGATTGAAAATCAGAATTTTTATGCTTTCAAACTCAATTCTTTTAATAAACAGTAACAAATTCTCTGTTAAGATATTTAAATGGAGACAGAAAACCCAATAAATCCAGCTTTTGAAAGAAAATTCAATAAATAGCTATTTTACATGAATAAAGTCATAGTGGTACAATTTATGAATGTCACATCAAGCATGCACAAAAATGGTATTATACACGGCAGGAGTAGTCAGAAAATATTGATAGATCTAAAAAGATATGAAGAATTTACACGTATATACAAAAATCTTGCAAATTATTGCCTCATTTGAACAAGGAATTAAAAGTAAACGTTGCCAGCTAGGTAGCACTCTCTAAGAGGCTAACATCAGACTGGCATTTAAAAATCTATTAAAGTAGCTGGAATTTATTTTTCTCTCATATCATTTTCTGGATTTTGGTCAAAAAATCTATTTAAATAACTAAAGTGTCCATTTAACTTGCTGATAATCAAAACTTTAGATAAGAAACACTGTTTCCATCTTCTATCAAGATCCCAGCAATGCATAGATAAACTGAATATATTACTGCATCAGCTAATGAGAATGGGCATGTTCACTTAAGTGTAACTGGTATTAGCATTCAGTCATCTTTGTGTAAATTACCTATACAGACCAGCCACTGTAAACCCAGAGTGAAAATTAAAGATAACAATGGAAGAGTATGCCCAGTATCTTACTAAATTATAGAAAGTATACTGATTTTTAACAAAATAAGGTTTGAAGTTTAGCACAACACAGCAATAAGAAGCTAACAACTTGGATAAAAATATCAGAAAGCAACATAGAGCACAGGCTACCCATTATTTACTGTGTGCATACAGGAATACTAGACTTTAGATGTATAAATTAGAGTCTGATTTTAAGTTATTAATTTAACTACCTTTGTCCTCTGTGCTAAACTAAATTTTATAGTAAATGTGCTACTGCGTAAACACTTCAAAGCAATCTTCATTAAAATGCTGCAAAGAAAAACAAGAATACACATCATCCAAAACTAAGGATGGCATTGCAGTTCACAGTTTGTATAATAAATACCCTCCCTCTCAATCACTAAGACCACTACATCCTATCTACTCATCAGCACAACCTTGAAGCGACCTACACTTACAGGTATTAGCAATGCAGCCAAACATTTAAGTTTTTTTGCAAAGCAACACAACTAGTAAAAATCAAAAATTTTAATTGACGGTGCAAAAAAAAAAGTAATTGTTTTAACTGTACTATAAAAGCAAAGCTTATTATATCCTAACACTGTATTATATATCGTTTGATTTACCTTATAACTTAAAGAAGCAAGTCTAATAGAGCAAAATGGCCAAAGTTTAGGACAATGGCTTCTTATTCACAACACTTGGAATAAAAATAAGAGTTTGAGATGCATGTGAACGTCTATCACTTTTTAAAACTTAAAAGTGGTAACGTACCATTCATTCAGATAGGAACTCACATTTTTCTTGCCAACTGTCCAAGCTAAACAAAATAGCTTAAGTATACTTCAAGGTTCCACATTACGTATAACGTCTAGAAGTCTTTCTAAATAGTAACACTTTGAACTGCAGTGCTACAAACTGAGGAAGTGTCCCAAAATGCAAACCACTGAGTAGCAATTTCCTGGGCTCTACAGACTGTGCCTCTGCAAGTCAATTGCCTCAGAATAAACTAAATTATCAGTGACCAGTATGTTTTTTTAATATTACAATCTTGACAATGGTGGACAAAACCCCTTATGAATACCACATCTTCAAATGCCAAATTTTTAGTCAATAAATGAAATTACACAGAAGTCTCTTGGCAGTAAAATGACCAATTCTGTGTAAGGTAGCCCTGGTCTAGAATTTTGAAACAGGATCCAAGCAAGTCTTCATAATTTGCACACAGTTCCTCATGCTGGCTTCCATAAAGATGGTCTTGCTGTTCTTGTAAACTGAAGTGCTCTAGTTGAATAACATGAGAGAAGTTTCCATTTTTTAAAAAAATCCTTGCATGTTTGTGCAGTTTAAAGAAACCTACCCCTGCTTTTATTAATAAAGAAAATAAAACCAAAAAAATGCTACATTGAGCAGGGATTGGGGTTGGTACCTGTAAACATTGTTATTCCACTGCATCCACTATGGCAAAAGGAATTTACATGAAGAGAAGCCACACCATTCAGTTCAGAACATCGGTGCTGGTTTTGAGCTGGTGGCCTCTGTCTACAGGTTTTAAAACTGGGAGTGAGGGCAGTAGGGAACAGAGCGAAAGGAGGAGGAGGAGGAGGTGGGAAGAGGTATTAGGGGATGAGGAAGAGAAGCAGAGCTTAAAGCTGCACCACAGAGTTCAATCTTAGTTCCCAACTCTGCTGATCATAGTTCATTTCCACATTTATGGATTGAAAAATGAAAATACTCTTGATAAATCAAGATATAGTTCTATACATACTGACATCACTGATGTCATAGTGAAAAAGGTTCAAACTTCCAGTGAAAGACTATGCAAACCTGATAGCTCCCCTCAAGTTTACTGGTACTGGACACCCACTGTCCCTGGGCTTCTCAGTCATGTCACTCTGAATGAAGGGCGGTATGCTGATGCAGAGTGTGGGCACTGATGAATCCATTTGTCTCACTGGCAGACAAACTGCCAAAGTCAGCCACAGAGACAGCCATTTTGGCACTGGTGATATGATGTGTGTGATTTTCAAAGTCTACACCCAAATTATTTACAGAAACCTCATTTATAAAGGATTCAGGGACA